CTGTGTGTACTGCGGCACCTCATAATTTCTGATGAGATGATTCTCAAAATGACAGATCAGCAGTTAACATATTTTGATTATCTGCTTGTATTTTCGTCTGCCTCACCAGAATGTAAACTCCCTGAGGTCAGAGACCATATTAGTCCTATATCCCCAGGACCTTGCATTCAGTAAGTACATGTTGAGTTGACTAGTTGCTTGTTCAGAGTCATACAGCTAATAAGTGGCAGACCTGGGATTTGAATCCACATCTATCAGGGTGCCTGAGTGGCTCACTCAGTTAAACGGCAGACTCTTGATTTGAGCTTAGGATATGATTGCAGGGTCGTGGGATTGAGTCCCACATCTTGCTCCAAGCTGAGTGTGGAGCCTGGTTAAGATTCTCTCTCCCCCTCTGTTTCTCTCCCTGGCTCGCTGTCTCTCTTAAAAAACACAAAAAGTTAAAAAAACAAAAACATAAATCCACATCTATCTTTACCCATTAGCTACGTTCATTCCTTATCCCTGTAAGGAGGACATTGTTTTCATTTCACATAAATGGCAACTTCTGAGAAGAGCAGTGACTTGCCCAAGGTACTATAGGACACAAGTAGCAGAAAGGCATTGATACCCAGGAATGACTTCATCTGTTATTCCAGCTATCTGTCCTTTGGGTCTGCAAATCATCTGACCTTTTTTGTATGAGAATTTGATTGGTTTCTTTGTTTTTTAAAGAGAGAGTAGGATCCAGGGAGAGGGGCAGACAGAATCTTAAGCAGGCTCCACACCACACTCCGTGTGAAGCTTGATCCCGTGACTCTGGGACTGGTGCCCAAGGGGAAATCGAGGGTCAGACACTTAACCAACTGAGCCACCCAGGCACCCCCTGAAAGTTTGTTTTTTAAGTGGTTTTATGTACAAATGCCATTCCACACAAAAATGTAATTAGGGATCTGGAATGGTCATGATATGGTATGGGAGTGCTACAATGCATTATGAAATTCCACTTCAAGTAAAAAAAGAGGACTTGAGTAGAGAAGACTTGCCTAATGTTTTCTGGAAAGTTACTTAATATGTCCTCAAATCTGTGTACTTTTTTTTTTTTTTTTTTTTTTTTTAAGTAGGCTTTATCCGGAGCGCAGAACCCAACACGGAGCTTGAACTCTGACAGTGAGATCAAGACCTGAGCTGAAATCAAGAGTGGGAGGTTTGGGGTGCCTGGGTGGCTTAGTTGGTTAATCCTCTGACTTCAGCTCAGGTCATGATCCCACGGCTGGTGGTTCAAGTCCTGCATGGGGCTCTGTGCTGACAGCTTAGAGCCTGGCCTGGAGCCTGCTTTGGATTCTGTGTCTCCCTCTCTCTCTCGGCCACTTCTCTCTCTCATGCTCTTTCTCAAAAACAAATAAACATTTTAACATTTATTTATTTTTGGGACAAAGAGAGACAGAGCATGAACGGGGGAGGGGCAGAGAGAGAGGGAGACACAGAATCGGAAACAGGCTCCAGGCTCTGAGCCATCAGCCCAGAGCCTGACGCGGGGCTCGAACTCACGGACCGTGAGATCGTGACCTGGCTGAAGTCGGATGCTTAACCGACTGCGCCACCCAGGCGCCCCAAAAAACAAATAAACATTTTAAAAAATTAAAAAAAAAGTGGGAGAGGTTTAACTGACTGAACAACCCAGGCACCCTTCATATTTTCCTTTTTATGTATGAGCAATATATAATCAGTATATTATACTGATATTATACCTGTGTAATCAGTTTTGTTTTCTAGTATTTTATAGAAGTAATGAGAATATTTAGAATCTTGTTACATAACTATGCCTGCTAGAAAATGAATGGGCTTGCCTGTTTTATGTATTATATTTGGTTTTCCTCCTGGTTTGTGTGTTCACCCAGGAAAATTTTCCTCCTTTACTACTGGCAACAGCACCTGGCCAAGTACTGTGCTCAAGGTAAAATTCCGTGCAGAGAATTACCTCCTCAAAGAGTCTTCGTTGCATAGTCCAAAAGGAAAGGCACCACCTCTAGTCTCTTTGCACTACTAAATAAAATGTCTTCTCATTAGCCTTTGTTTCTGGATCCTCTCCTTTCTGAATTCACAGCAGGAAGAACTGGGGAAATTAATCCCTTTTGCTAATTGTCCTGTATAGGGGGGACTGATCTATCAGAAATTTCATAAACGGGGGGGGGGGGGGGGGG